AAGAGGGGCTATTTGGGAAGAACAAGAAGACAGAAGCAGAGCCGGACAAGAGAAGATAATCAGGGATAAATGTGATCAAAGTTCATTATATAAATGTATGAAAATGTCCTAATGAAACCCATTGTTTGTGCAATTAATACATACCAATAAAAAAGAAAAAATTGAAGTATGTAATAGAGTGGCATTAATCACAGCATGCTATACGTTAGTTTTCCAGAACTTACTTATCCTGACTAACAAAAACCTTGTTTTGTCACCAACATCTCACCATTTTCCCCATTCAGTGTTCTTAGCAATGACGATCCTACAGTCTGTTACCATGATCTGTTTTAGACTCCAAATATAAGTGAAATTATGTGGTATGTGTCTATCTCTGTGTGACTTATTTCGCTTAGCATAATGTCTCCAGTTTCATACATGTAGTCACAGAAGTCATTATTTCCTTCATTTTTAGGCTTAATCTTAATATTTCACTATTTATATTTCCAAGTAACATTTCTGCATTCATCTATAAATTAGGGACATTTTTGGTATTTTTATATTTTGACAATGACAAGTGATACTGCCATGCCATGGAAATACAGATTTTTTTTTCTAGATCCTGATTTATTTCCACTGATATTCCTGAAGTGGGATTTCCTTTCCTCTGATCATTTACTCTTGTAAAATCATAATCTATGTGAAGAAGTAGCTGAGGTTTTTCTTCCTTTGTGGCCTCTACTTTTAGGTTATCATTTACTCTAATCAAACGTGAATCTGTACTTAACTATTGATCTTTATTTATGTAGACAAAACAAACTTTCTCAATCTAGTGCCAATTTACTTAGAATATTATGCCTTATGTTGTTCATAAATAAACCTGCTGTTCTCTTAGAATAAATTTTTCATAAACTTGGGACAAAATAGACATATTATTTTTCCTTCAATTAATTAATTAAAAAAATTTTTTTGAGCCAGAGTCTTGTTATGTAGCCCACACTGGTCTCAAAATGCTATGTAATGTTGGTCTTGAACTCATGATCCTCAGCCTCCTGAGTGCTAGAATTATAGATGGGTACTACCAAAACTGTCTTGTTATGTGCACTTAGACACTTTTTATTCTTCTGGAGCATTCTAATATTTTTGGTGTACTAGGGTTTGAACTCTGGTCCTTGTGCTTACTACGCTGGTGTTCTACTACTTTAGCCATGCTCCCAAACCTTGTTTTGGAATATTCTAACAACTTTTTTTCTCATCCAGAAAACTTCACTGCACCGTTGAAGGCTCAGATCAATGTTATCTCTATACATCATTCATTAGATACTAAGTTTTGTGGGTAGAAGAATCTGCCTTACAAGGTTTCATTTCCTCTGCTCCACTGCGAGCACCATTTGCGTTTTGGTTATTGTGGCAGCAGGGGGACCTTTGTGCCCTCAAAGCTGGGAATCCTGTTTTTTTACAAGGATCCCCGTCTCCAGTTCCATCCATTGTGTTGGAACCGAAGTGTATCTGTGCATAATTGGTTTAGGGGCTACAGTATTTGAAGAAGAAAATCATAGACTAAGTTTTCAACTTCTCTTTGTTAAATCTTTTTGTCTATGAGAGGACTTCAAGATTATAGGATGAGGTCAGTGGTGATGGATGTGGGCAAAAATAGCTTATGACTAATGCTGTGGGAGTTCATGGCAATGATCATGCTCATTTTACTTTGGGGTAATCCAAAGACTAAAGAGTCTGTGGAGTGTGAAGCTGGAATTACCCATAGGTTTACAGATTCAATTTCTGGTGGCCTTACATGGAGAGAGGGTGAGGGGAAAGTGGAAAAAAGGAGAGGGGAGAGAAAAGCACTCATCAACCTCATTTTTCTTCTTATAGTTATCCAATCCTATCCTACTTTCATAACTTAATTAATTATTTATTAAAGAACACACCCCCAAATAACATTATACTGGTAATTCTGACTTAACTGAAGAGCTAAGTGTTCAATCCAAAGCAGGAAGCCATAGGAAGGTAAGCTCATCTTTTTGGAATTCTAGAAAGGTAACTCAATGGCTGATATGCATAATCTCTTATTACTATTTAAAGGCATGTTTTTGTTTTGAGGTTTAAGAAATGTGACCTGCAGAAATACATGTCCCTAGAATGCAAATAAGGAAAACAAAATAAATGATTCATGAACTTTTTATAGTAGAATAGCAACCATTAAAATAATTCTAGAGTCAAAGGGCAGAGCTTTGTTAACTGAAGAGGCGGAAGCTCTGAACTCTTAATCATGCAACAGAAACATCCTCACAGTGGAGATTTGCAGATGGATAAATGAAGCTTTCAAAGAGTGACGAGATCCATCATGGCACTGATGCTTCTTGGTTGAGATTCTAGGTAGACAATGACATTTGCCATTTCAGGGAGATTTTCTAAGACAGAAAATCCATTGGCTTGCTGATGCAGGGATGTTACTTTTTATCTTATACTTAACCCAATCACCTTTCATATAAACTATTCTCTTGTGGGTTTTGTTTTGTTTTGGCAGTGCTGGGGATCAAACTCAGGGCCATGTATATGTTAGGCAAAGACTCTACCACTGATTACTTCCCAGTTGTTGTGGGTTTTAAAAATAACATATACACTCTGAGTGTATGAATTTGTAGTTTATACTTAAGACAGAAGTATATTCCGAGTTATGTTCTGCAAGTCTGAGAAGCCTGTTGGTTTAGCTCTCTGATGTCTCCTTTTGTAAATCACGTACTACTAGTTCTAAACCTTTTTGCTCAGCAACAAACTTCTGTTCTTGTTGGGGATCTCTGTAGAGTACCTTCTATAGTTGGTTTTTTAATTTTGAGACAGAGTCTCATCATATAGCCCAAGATGGTCTCAACTCATGATTTTCCTGTTTTTGCTTCTTGTGTGCTAGGGTTATAGGTATATACTACTATGCCTGGGTCTGGAGTACCCTCTGGAAAATTATTATTCAATTACCCATGAAGGCTCCTGAGGCCCTTAATGTTTTTCCTCTCTCTTGGAAAACAATGTGTATAAATAATATTACAAAGAATTAGGTTAACAAAATTGTTTTTGTGTCCTTTCCTCACAGAAACATAAACTTCAAAATTACAAAAAATTGGAACATGAGACATTTAATATTTTTTGGTAAAAAGTATAATTTCTTGTTGGTCTGTATTATAAATGTAGAAGGTAAATCAATCCCTCAGATTTAATTCACAAGAACCAACAGAGCTCTAACTTGGCTCCATCCTGGACTGTTTGCTCTGGCCTATGAAACATTAGAGAGAGATCAGATGTCCTTCCCTCATGGTGAGCAAAGTATTTGTTCTATCACTAGAATGTTGTTCTAGAGAGTTAATCTCTATTCAGATGGAACAAGGAAGTTAGCACATAAGAGAGGTTTGAGTCCAGTTTTTGTTAATAGTTGCTTTCAAATAATATAGAGGTGAAAGTGACAGTTTGAAGCATTTACTTCAAGTTTCTTAGTGAACTAAGAATTTCCCTCTTTCTTTGCTATGAGTAGGAATTTCCCCAAAGAAGAAAGCCACCAATGGTTCTGGCAGATGTCAAAAGCAAATTCGGCATGGACATGTTACCTTTCTGATTCCCAGTAACTGGAAAACCCTTCCATATTTAACCTTTAGTTTAATCACTATTTAATCAGTTTCATGTTTGATGTGCCTTAGACAATTAAAGAATGATATTGACTTTGTTTCATTTTATTTTCAAATAGCATGCATTAATCATATATATTGATGGAATTGAGTGTGATATTTCAACACATACATACAGCATGCAGATTAATTCAGAGTAATTATTCCACTCTCCTTATTATTTGTCTATGTTTAGGACCTTCAAGCATCTCTATGCAGAGTTCCAAAATATATATAGTAGATTACTGTAAACTATAGGCATCCCACTGTGTGGAAGAACACCAGAACTTATTCCTTCTACTTATGTTTCAGTACTAATTATGCAACCTCCATTTATCAGTCCCAGCCTCTATAGTAATCTACATTCATACTGACTTTTGACTTCCACTGGTGAGACAGAATGAAAAATATGTTTGTTCATTATTACACAAGGAATAAAGCTGTCTTTTACCTTTAAAAGTATTCAGTGAAAGAAATTTAACAGATGCAGGTGATCGCTTAAAATAAATGACATACAACTCCCTGAATAGCTATCCTTATCTCAACTAGCAAAAACCTTGGTCCTTCCTATTATTGCTTATACTCTTTCTTCAACAAAATCAGAGATAAGGGCAAAATAGTTTCTGCCTGGTAGCGAGGGGGGTAGGGGCGAAAGGAGGGGTTAAGGGAGGAGACTGGGGGAGGGGGCAGGGGGAAGGGGGGAGAAATGACCCAAACGTTGTATGCACATGTGAAGAAAAGAAAAATAAATAAATGACATATACAGGCACATTATAATTGACCTACATTAATTCAGAGAAGTGAAGTAAATTTATTATGGTAAGGTTGAGATGATTATCTCAAATAAATGATTAAAGGTGTATGGTGAGAGCATTGAGGAAGTAGGGATATGATGAATTATGGGATGACAGCTGTTTGAGGAGAAAGTCACAGGAGATTCTTAGAAGACTGGAGAGTATGAAATAGTTTGAGAAATTGGCAAGATAGATCTAATGTAACTCTTCTTCAAAAGTCTTATTAAGATCTGTACCAAAGTTTCTCAGCAAAATTCTTTGGAAGGGATCTGGAGGCATTATAGGAAAGGATTTGAAAAGATAGTGTTTTTCATTGTCCTATATATGTATGGACCATGCTGCTCATTGTATATATGGAGAGAAAAACATTTGAGAAGGGTTGAGAAAAAGCAAAATGGCTTTATTTCTCCAGTCACCAGGGTGATTGACTTTGAGAGCTGTGAACTCTGTCCCAGGATCTAATGGACACCATTTGCAAAAGCTGACCTACCAGCATGAGCTGATGTGTGCACATGATTTTTCTAGAAGGAAGAGATCATCTGGCTTTGAAAGAATTCCCCCCACCCTGGGGTTACAAGATTCTCTTCCATGCTGCCTTCACATCCTTGTTTCTCAGGGTGTAGATGAGTGGATTGAGAAGTGGGGTGATGATGCAGTAGAAGAAGGACATGAACTTGGCCTGAGAGCTTTTGGATGGAGGTTGTAGATATATGTAGATACCTGGCCCAAAGTACATAGTGACAACCACCAAGTGGGAGCTGCAGGTGCTGAGTGCCTTCTGCCTTCCCTCAGCTGAAGGTAACTTTATCACAGCCCTTACAATGAAGGTGTAGGAGATGAGCACAAGCAGGGGAGCCACCATTCCAAAAGGGATGGCTCCCAAGGCCAGGGAGAGGTCATTAACAGTTGTGTCACCACAGGCCAGCTTGATCAAAGCAGGCACCTCACAGAAGAAGTGATCAAGGGTGTGCCTCCCACAGAATGAAAGTCGGAGGGTGAGTGTGGATTGGAGCAGAGAATTGGCCAGGCCACTGGACCAGGACACAGCTGCCAGCCACACACATGCCCAGGCATGCATTATGAGAGTGTACCTGAGGGGATGGCAGATTGCCACATAGCGATCAAAGGCCATCACAGCCAGCAAGGCACATTCAGTGCAGCTGGTCCAGTGGAAAAGATAGGCCTGTGTGATGCAGCCCCAGGAAGCAATGGTCTTCTCTAGGCTCCAGAGGGTGGTCAGCAGCTGTGGCACAATGGTGCAGGTGACACAGAGGTCCAGCACAGAGAGGTTGTCCAGGAAGAAGTACATGGGGGTCTGGAGTCTGGGTTCTACTACAGAAAGAAGAATAATGGAGCTGTTCCCCAACAGGATAAGGGTGTAGGAGACCAGGACCACTCCAAATAAGGGAATCTCTAGCCATGGATACTCTGAGAAGATCAATAATATAAATGTGTTGGGAAAACTCACATTTTCTTCTTTCATAACCCTGGAAGGGGTGGGGGGACAAAGAGAGAGAGAGAATTTTGATGGTAAACATGGCCTGTGCTTTTCTATAACCTCATGACCGTATCCTGAAACATTCAATTATATTGGTGTTGTGATCCCAGTAATTTTATAAAAAGTTCTCAGTAAGTGGTTCTAACTTTGTATAATTCTTTCCACTTTTCCTTTCCAGGTTACATTGAAGTAGGGTTAGAACAACAGTAATGCAGACTTGAGAAATTCTCTTTACAACCCACTCAAATAAAATGTGCATTTATCATTTGAAAATATCTCTGTCTTTATCTCTATCTTTGTCTCTGTCTTTTTCTCTCTGTCTTCTCCCTCTCTGACTTTTTCTCTCTCATATCACTACTTGTTTTCTAGTCTACTAAAAGTAGATGTTATATCATAAATAATCTAGTACTTTACATATGTCTTTGTACAGATTTGGCACTTGTTTTTAAGAAAAATTTTTTAAAGAAAACGCCTAATATTTTCTTTCAGTCCAGTTATGTGAAGGATATCAAGTTAGATGTTAAGCATGTTGATGTAGCTACATAGCCTGTGAACTTTTTCTTGCAGGAAGTGGGAGTCAAGTGGAGTTTATTTTATACACTTCTATCTCTATTTTTTCCCATTTTTATTATTGTAAAATACACAATAGATAAAATTTACTACCTTACAATTATATAGTTTGGTGGTATTCATACATTCATATTGCTATGAAACCATGATACTCACTCATAGAGCTCTAGAATCTTTTCATTCTCAAAATGTATGTATTACATTATAACTCCCAGCCCTTTTCTTCCACCAGATCCTGGCAGTCCCCATTATACTGTCTGTGTATATGACTTTTACTAATCTAAATACCCATATAATTAGTATGAGGCAGTATTTGTCCTTTTTTGATGAGCCCATTTCACTTACAATTCTATAAATTCCCAGTGTCTTAAGAGTTTCAACATTGTTTAGAAGCTGAAGTTCAAAGCCTCCTCTAAAACTCAAGTGATGCTTAGCTGTGAGTCTGAAAAAAATTGAAAATAATTTATATCCTTTCCACTTACAATGGCACAGAATAGACATTCCCATTCCCAAAGGAGTGTAGAAAGCAGAGGTTGAACCAAAGCAAGACTAAAACCCAAGGGACAAATGTTAATTCCTACAACTTCATGTTTAGCAGCCATGATGCCAAACATGGTGTCCTCATGTGAGCTCCCTAGGGCTGGGCAGCTTCACTCCTATGGCCCTTTTGTTGCAGGCTCATGACCTCTCTTTTGAGAGAGCCATGCCAGTGGCTTTCTTCCTCAGACCTTCCACATTCTGACTCTTCCAACTTCCTTTGGAATTTTAGGATCTTTGAGAATCACCCTCAAGGGCTGCCTACAGGGATCCTGACCTTGCCAATGTTACCTGGCTTCTCATGCATTCTGCATGCCTATAAAATCAACAGCATGTGGGTGATTCCAATACTTGCCAACAGCTCACGCAGTATCTAGGACCCCTTGGATTACAGCTGCAGCAGCTTCTGAGTGCTTGTGCAGGTGAGCATGATGAGACAAGTCCTGGAGGAATAACTTCCTAGGCAGCCATGTGCGAACAGGGTGCCCTGGAGGCACTCTCTCCTCAAGGGAAAGTCTTTCCAATGAGTTTCCCCTTTCAAACCCTTGAGTCTTCAGTGTATGGCATCTGGCAAGTTCCTGAGATGGCCTCAAAGAATCTTTCCTATTGTCCCAGTGCAAAGTGCTTGATTTCTTTTCTTTTTTCTTTTTTTGCAGCACTGGGGCTTGAACTCAAGGCCTACACCTTGAGCTATGACACCTGGCTTTTTTTTTTGGCTGTACTGTCGTTTGAATTCTGGGGCCCACACTTGTTAGGCAGGCACTTGAGCCACTCCACCAGCCGCTTGATATCCTTTTAGTGGAGTTACTCTTTTCAGAAACCATAACGTCTTTAGCTACAACTTTACAAGAGTTTTTCTGATCAAACTGGAAGTTTGTCTTTTTTTTAAAATCTTTCTGCTCTGTTTTTTGCTCCCAACTCTTATTATAGCCTGACTAAAAGCAGCTGGCAATAGCCATATCACAGTCTGACTTCTAGGATGCCTTGAGATTTCCTACACCAGATTTAGTCCATCATGTTTAAACTCAGTTTCCCACAATGTCTTAGGGCATGAAAAAAATGTAGACGAATTATTTTTCCAGAATATATCACAAATGCCTACCCATCCAATTTCTAATTGAGACCTCATGCCCATCTGAAATCTCCCGAGCAGAGTCTTTACTCTCCACATTCCTATCAGCATTCTAGTCAAGTAAGTTTCCACCAGAAGCACCAGTTAAGCTCTGTGTCTCTGACCTGCATCTCTTAAAGTCTTTGAAATTCCTCCTACAAACCAGTTCCAAAGGCTTAAGAATCACATTGTCAGGATTAATCACAGCTACCACCCCACCCTGGATATAAATTTTATGTGTTTGTTACTTTTCTCATTGCTGTGACAAAATACTTGACAAAACAACTTAATTGAGAAAAAAATTAATTTTGCTTACAGTTCAAGTGATTTTAATCCATTATGGCATGGAGGGTATGGCAGAACAGCTTACATTATGGTGAACAGGAAGCAGAGCAGAATAATAACAGGAAGGGGACAGGGTAAGATATAGCCCCAAAGACATGCCTGCAGTGACCTACTTCCTCCATCCAGGTCCCACCTTTCACAATTCCATCACCTCCCTTTAGTCTATTCAGATGAGATTGAGTGAGTTCAGGGTGATATGACTGTAGGCCTTATAGTCTATTCAAATTCTGAATCCATCAATGAATCAAATTATTCACTAGGTCAGAGTTCTTGCAGACACACCCAGAGGTGTACTTTACCCATCTCCTAGGTGTTTCACAATCCAATCAAACTGACAATCAAGGTTAACCATCCATAAGACAATCCTTTAACTGAAGGTCTAGGTTCAGTGATTAAAGCTAGAGACTTCAATAGTTTGACTGACACTAAAAGCAACCAAAGTCATTGCATAATTCTTATATCAGTTTTCTCATTTTTTCCTTGGAGTATTTAATCTAAGTGGTTTCCTTTATATAGAAAATTTACTTTTTTTCCTCTTCCTTTGAACACTTAGGTCACATAATTATCTGTCAATGCCAGTCATAGCAGTTTTATACTTCTTCCATTTAAACACATACATCTAAACTATGTATATTTCCTTTTAGAAAACTGATTGATTGATTCATTAAGTTAACATAACTTTGTTTTGAGAATGTCTTTGCTTCTTAACACTTCTGAGAGAATAAACATTTTGTGGATTTTATTTAACATAATTTTCTGCAGAAGTACTTTTTATCTTCCATGCTTAAATGCTAAGATTGCTCTAACAAATGATGTTTGCTGCCAGATAACATTCTTTAACAGTGATCAGGGTCAGTAACTGGCGATAGTGTTATTGTTATGATTGTATGTCATTGCCCACAGTGCTATCCTACAGATTTCCACATGAATATTAGTCTGACACAACTTGGAAATTGATTTTACCTATTACATTATTGTATGCTAAGTATTGAGTAGTTATGTAAAAGCAAATAATGGCTAAGTTATTGTGTTTTGTGCCATCCTATTCTGGATCAGCTCTACTTGGTAAATTTGCCCTTGTAAAGTTATTTATTTATTTTTGTTTTTCTCCTTTGTCTAGTATTGTAAATTTGAAAAAAATCTTTTTTTGAGTGACTGAGACACTAATTGCTGGAGTCAGCTATTCCAGGATATGGAACTAGAAAGACCCTCATCCTAGAAACTCCTCATCAGCCATCTTGCTTTAGTTTCTCAGAACATGGACTATCTGATAGTCTTCAGATAACATATAAGTGTGGAATAAGTACTTCCTAATTCTGTTCTTTACCCAAAAGTGAAATAATATTTAACTTTTAGGAAAATATTGTTTGTTTAATGAATTATTGGGGCTGTTCTAGGAGACATCATTCACTTCTTCTCACTAGAATATTCTGGCAGAAAAGAAAGGAGAACATTTCCTAAATTGCAGAGATTGTTAGGAAGCCTGGAGGTATGGGTCAGCCTACACCCTTCATTTCTATTACCCAAATGCCCTCTTTTCCAACCCATAAAAGCCACTTTGCAAACCTTAGTTCCCTAAGATGGTCTTTGCTTTGGGGACAATAACTCTCACCCATCTTACCAGGGCACCAGATCAGATAAATCTGATCTTCTTCCCACCAACTCTCTTCTACTGAGTAGTATTTTTGAGCTGCAAGCAGACAGTCTTGGATCCAGTAACAGTATCCTTAGAAGGAAATAACTGATGTTAAATGGGACCTTGAAGATATTCCGAATCTGATAAAAGAGCCCTCACCAGAAACTGAACCCTAATAGAAACTTGATTAAGGACTTTCAACCTCCCTAGATCTGTGAGAAAATAAATTCCTTGTTTCTTTAACACAATGTAGCCTGGTAGTTTTTCATGGCAACCCAAACAAAGTAATGTATCATCTTCATTATATTATTTCTCTCTTTTCCTTTATTCTATCTTTTTCATCTCATTAAAAAAATCTTTCACTATACAACATAAAAGTATGAGTACATAGGAAATAATTTCATGTATTCTACACTTTGAAGAGTGAGCATTTTATCCCACAAATAGGAATGATATGCATGAATTAATTTCAAGAACATATATCATGAGCTTAGAAATGTAATTGCATATACATTGAAAAAACTATGAGTTATATTTTGTAAGATGCTATAAATGATATTACTTTTCTTTCTGTTTGAAATAAAAGTAGACAAGGAATGAATATAACTGTAATCATATCTTCATAATGAAACTAACAAATGTTTTCCCTTGTAAGAAGCCTGAGCCATTCTCTCTACCCAGTTAAAGTTTAAAAACCACAGAGAAAACTCCAGGAAAACTTGAATAAACCCTCTAGTTTCCTCTGCTTGTAGTTGCTTTCTTTCATCACTGAATTTAGCAGTTGTT